ATCGATTCTGATTACATGTATATTAAACAACTGTTCATTCTCTCTGTTCAGTTATCCTACATATTTTGTAATGCTTTGTAAATGGCTAGTCTTATGCAAATCAAGTTTGAAAAGAGTTCATGCTAGGACATTTAAGGTTTTAGCAAACAAGAAAATAATGTGAGAATATGCAAAAGTGTAAATGTAACTTTAAAAACACTTTTACAGTCTATATTTTCAGATCATGTAAGTTTACAACCTGTAAGCAACTGGGGATTTCCTGCCAATACCCATCCAATTCTTCTAGAACTTGGTAAAGAATTAAATTGTGGGCCAACTATGTTCAAGTTTCTACAAACCAACTTTATGGAAGGAAAATTTGATATACCATTTGTCAAAATAGCTGGTAAAGAAGGGACATACAATATGAAAGAAATAGTTTATGTGGACAGCAGAATTCAAAGTATGGGAGCAGAATTGACCTATAAACTAAACAGTCGTAAAGCTGACATGAAGATGACAGATGAGCAATACACCATCCTTCATTCTGATTCTAAACTTGATGCCAACATAACAACTGATGGTTTTTGGGGAAGTATTCGAGACTATCCACAGTTTGATATTTATCAGGAAATACTAAAGCAACGATGGTTTGGCAAAGACATCAATACATGTGGTGTACATACTTATGACTTTGATAATACCCTCTTGAGACCAGTTCAAGTTCAATTCCAGGCTACAGAATCTATCTTCAATAAATATTTTCCAACTGAATTTTTTTATGTAGAAAGTTTACAGAATCCATTAGGAGCTGTGGAAGCCTTTCTGAACTTCACTATAGCTTCCCCTCAGAACTGTTAAATATTCATGACACGCTTAATATTGTATTTGGCACTCTTCTTTAAATGTATTTCACATCATGTTTTTCATGGTGTATATTCGGCAAGTAATTACAGTTGTATAAATAAAAATTATTGTGTCAATTTTTATTTGCCCAATGTGGAGGATAGGACATAAATTCAATTTCATGGAATGCAAATGTTATAGATTTTACATACTGTCATTTTAACTGTCTGTGTTTCAGGGAATGTGAGACAATTCACAACATTTTTGTAAGTTTTAGCATTTCAACTTCATTCATAAGTTATGACATATCAAGGGTTTGGGGCACAATTGTTATATGTCCATTTTAGTAGTTTTGAGAAAATGATGTTTTAAACTTTGTAAATGGTATATCAAATCAGGAGTACTATAATATTAAAAGATTTGGAATAAATCATAATTCAACAATGTTGTAGTATTGCATAGTCGCAAATATTGTAAAAAAAAAACTGCAAAATAAAGGACACATATTTTGCTATTGCGCTCCAGGATTATTAGCACACTTGGTGACATAGTAGAACTATCAAAATTATCAGTTGTTCAAGAATTCAAGCTGTGTTGTTAGTCTACTAGTCCATCTTAAAGAAAGATAGCTTGCCAGGCAAGGTAATATACGCCCACTGGCAGCTTTGATCTTGAACATAAATATTTAGCAGTACAGTAACAATCACCAGTATGAAATATTCAACCTTCAGTCATACACTTCTTTTGAACTCTTTAGGGCGATACTGAATAATATTGAGTATGAGTAATTGCCCTTGAAAACGTGTTCAATCTTTAGCTCGTGAAAACTCTAGAAGACAAATATTCAATCTTCAGCGCAATAATGAATAATAAAACCAAGTTTTGTCAAAATTCGGTAAAAGTCATGCCTTCTAGAGTTTTTATGAGCTACAAATTGAAAGATTTTTCAAGATCAAGGGCAATAACTCATACTAAATATTTTTCGATTTTTCCTTGGGTGATAACAAACACTCAAGCCATATTTCGTTAAAATCTGCCATGAATTGTGCATTCTAGGAAGTTTACAAGCTAAAAATTGAACGCGTTTTCAAGAACAAGGGCAGTAACTCATACTAAATATTTTTAGATTCTTCTGATTTTCAATAGGCTTTATCCATGGGTAATAACCAACACTCATGACAAGTTTCGTCAAAATCCGTCAAGAATTGTGCCTTCTAGAGTGTTTATGAACTAAAAATTGAACACGTTTTCAAGAACAAGGGCAATAACTCATACTAAATATTTTTCAATTTTTCTGATTTTTGATAGGGTTTATCCTTGGCTGATTGCAAACACTCACACAAAGTTTTGTCAAAATCAATCAAGAATTGTGCCTTCTAGAGTGTTTACAAACTAAAATTGAACGCGTTTTCAAGAACAAGGGCAATAACTCATACTAAATATTTTTAGATTCTTCTGATTTTCAATAGGCTTTATCCATGGGTAATAACCAACACTCATGACAAGTTTCGTCAAAATCCGTCAAGAATTGTGCCTTCTAGAGTGTTTATGAACTAAAAATTGAACACGTCTTCAAGAACAAGGGCAATAACTCATACTAAATATTTTTCAATTTTTCTGATTTTTGATAGGGTTTATCCTTGGCTGATTGCAAACACTCACACAAAGTTTTGTCAAAATCAATCAAAAATTGTGCCTTCTAGAGTGTTTACAAGCTAAAATTGAACGCGTTTTCAAGAACAAGGGCAATAACTCATTAAATATTTTTCAATTTTTCTGATTTTAGATAGGGTTTATCCTTGGGCGATTACGAACACTCATACCAAGTTTCATCAAAATCCGTCAAGAATTGCACCTTCTAGAGTGTTTACGAGCATTTCAAGAACAAGGGCAATAACTCATAGTAAATATTTTTCAATTTGTTTGATTTTCAATAAGGTTCATCCTTGGGTGATTACAAACAACCATACCAAGTTTCGTCGAAATCAGTCAAGAATTGTGCCTTGTAGAGTGTTTACGAGCAATTGTGGACGGACGGACCGACGGATATGGGTGACGGCAATATACGCCCCCCATTTCATGTGGGCGTATAAAAATGGCTAGCGATGGTCAAGATGGCATGTGTTTGAGCATAAATGTTACATGTCCGGACATATCACTTTTGAGCACCAAGTGTTCCTGTTTTGGAGCATATAGCACATTTGGTTAATGTACTATTCCACTGAAACAAAGCTAGTTAGAGATACTTGCCAAAATGCAAAACTGCTCATCTATGAAATCAACATTTTGACATAAAATGAGGAAAATGTGGCTTGTAAGAAAGTATAGTGATCTATGATATTGTCTATTCAAATTCTTCCAGTGAAGCACTAAGACTAAATCCCTATAGAGGTTTATATTCAGAAACACAATCACAAAACAAAGCCACCTTCAGAGATGTCTTGAATAATATCAATCTTTTATGTCAAGTGCTCCTTTGCTGTTACCATCTTATTTGCTGTAATTACATTATGTCTACATATAGTCTTCTGAAGTACCAATAGCTGCAAGAAAATCACATATTCCCTTCAATATTACTGATTAGCTGAGCTAAAAAATTTCCGTTTCTGAGAATAAGGTACGATAGGTCAAATGTCCCTCTAAATCCTTCTCCAAAAAAGGATGGACATGGGTAACAGCAATATACTTCCATATTATGTTTCAGTACGTAAAAATAACAAACCAGGATCTGTTATTGTTTTAATGAAAATAAAACTTAAATATGACATTTAAAGGTTGACAATCTCAAACAGATATACATGGTATATTACAAGAACACAAAACATATTATATTCAAACAAAATAAACATACATATTGCCTTAACACCTTTAGCTTGGTAGTAGTGTTCACAGGCCACAAGGTTAATTGCGTTAAAATACAAGATAGCTTGCCAGGCAAGGTAATTTTTGCCCACGTGCAGATTTGATTTTAACTAAAAATATCTGGCAGTATGAAATATTCAACCTTCAAACTTTTTTGAGTGATACTGAATAATATTACCAAGTTTCATCAATATCTGCCAAGAATTAGGCCTTCTGGAGTCTTAACATGATAATAATTGAACGCATTTTCAGGAACAAGGACAATAACTCATACTAATTATTTTTCCATTTTTCACAAAGTGTTTGTCAAAAGTTTCGTCAAAATCAGTCAGGAATTGTGCCTTCTAGAGTGTAGAATAACTCAAAAACCGTTTATTGAAAAATCCTTAACTTCAAAATTGACCGCCATCTCATCAATTCCAATGCTCACACCAAGTTTCATCAAAATCCATTGAAAATTGTAGTTTCTCTGGTGCCAACTAACAAATTTAAATGTTATTTTACTAAGTCAAGGGCAATAACTCAAAAAACATTCATCTAAAAATCGTCAAATTCGAACTTGACCACCATCTTTTTAATCCCAATGCTCACATTGCTCATTACAATCAAATGAAAACTGTTTTGTGCCCACAAGAAATGTTGACCGACATACAGGGGTGACGACAATATAAAAACGGACTAGCAATATGACAATATGTACCATATCTACATTAATTAGCATGTGCTCTGTCTGTCCATTACATATTAAAATATTTGGCTAATAAAAAAATAACTAACCAGTGGCAACATGCCTTGCTTTTTACAAAATCATCATATTATCACATACAAGTCTTATTGTAATTAAAAAAACACAGTGAAAATATTTCATTAAATGTGGTTCAATGTTTTTAACATTTATTTATTAAATCTAATGACATCAGAGATAAACTATGGAAAGTATACTTAGCAGGACACCTTGTGATACTGTGATACTGTGATGTGTTTGTTATCTTTAAGGATTACACATGGCTGATAACATTTCAAAATAAGTATTTGAATATTTTAATTTTGACCATTGATGGTCCTTGAATTTTCATTTGGCACAAACATGGAAAATTATTCAACAGATGTTGAATCAAAGGATAAATTACTTACAGCTTTAGGCCAAACTTTGTGTATGCATTCCAGTAACTGCTAATGAGTTGGACAATTATTTTGTCTTTAGTCACAATATGACCAATTGTTTATAAGAAAATTATCTGAATACTAGTAATATCTAAGGAAAGCACTATATGTGTCTGTATATAATCTCAGTATCGCTGGATATTATCATTTATCCTTGGCATCTTGGTAATTTAATAAACCCTGATTCCATAGTGTATAATGATTTATAATAATTAGTATTGAAATAATTATCGACAAAGAATTAGAACCAGAATTTAAGAGAAGGTGGAATTGATATTTGAATGAGATTCCTAATAATCAGCTGATTGCGTAGTTATCATCATTAAATAAAAGTATTTTTGATTTAATGCATTTATATAAACCAGGGGCCGGTTTCACAAAAGAGTTAAGACAGGTCGTAAGTTTGCAACCGATCGCAAGTCGTTCGTAAAACTAACGATGGATTTCACGAAATAAATTCAGTCACAACTTTGGTCGTATCTTAGGATTAAAGACCATTAGCTACGACATGTACTTAGATGTCGTAAGACCGATCTTTCGTTATCAAAATGGTGGGTTGCACGGGGATGTGTCCGTAACACAACGAGATTTAAGGGGTAGAGTTGTTAATACCGCTTTAACGCTTGGGAAACTGCAGAAAAAGGAAGTGAAATGAAGTACGCGTGTACTAGACTACAAAGCAGTAGCAATTACAACATGTGGCGGTCGTTCAAATCTCACATGGATTTAAAAGTGGGCCTAGGTGGGTGTGTCAAGTGCAAGTAAAAACAGTATGCCTGTCTCAGACACTCGAGTAAACATCTCCTACTGTCCTAGCTTTGCCGAAAGTAGGATATTTGAGTCTCTCAGTCTCAAATGGACAGGTCTAGGATGGAACATCTATTTCAAAATAATTGGTAAAATTGGAAGAGATGGTCTAGAGAGTTTCTTTTTACTGTCCCCACTGACGACGGACTCACACAGTAGGCTACAAAGTTTTGCCTGCACATTTTGTTCGGCGTATTCTCTCCTTTGGAATCGTAGGTCTAAAAAAAATGCTGCTATTACAGATATTGCCGAGATGTCCTGTCGTACCAATGTACTATAATCCACAAGAGAATGCAAATTCACTGAAAATTTGGTAGAATTTGACGCTCGCTTTGCTTTGACATTTCTCTTTGTCCGCCATGTTGGCACCGTCGTCACAGAAACACATGACGTCACGCTGTGGTTTTCGTCTTAACTTCATGTCGTAACTAAGATCGTCGTACGATCGTTTTGAGCAAGTGGTTCTAAGATAGGTACTAGCTACGATCGTATATTTCTTCTACACTTAGTCGTAAACTTGCAACGATCGTAAGCTTTGCGAAACCGGCCCCTGGAACATCCAACTACAAAGTTTAAAACTTAACATATTTTCATTTGATTTTAGTCATCTTCAATGCAAAGCTGCTTTATCAAACATATTCATAAAATCCACAGCATGACCAAAAAACACATCCATATTAAACTTAAAAGGAGAGTTGCTGATGCATTTTTTGGTCATATAATTTTGGTTACTTTACTCTCTTCTGTTTATCTTTTAACTGTTCATACAGAACATGATCTTCTTTCATTAAGCACCATGGTGTTGACTGAATATCACATTTTAACCTGACATTTATTATGGTAACTTTTCCACCATCTATAACCATATCATGTTGACTATCTATTGTATATTGTACAGTATTAACACCAGTTACTTTATCTAATCTTCTTGTTTTCTATAATATCACAAATATTTCATAACATAGCCATTATAACAGGTATCATGTGGGACATCATATTCTGATATATTGCGTAAAAATCAAACTCACACTTGCATTAACAGAATCTAATAACAGAGTCCTAAGTTCCACTCAATTAACTGTTAAATACTGTGCAACTTTCATCAATAAAAGAGAATAACATTCATATCAAGCAAATGTGTCTACAGCTCAGGATTATTATCAACATTGTATGGAGCTGTTGATATTCACAGCCCTGTCGTTAGGGTGGGGTCAGTGGGGGCTGGGCCCCAGCAATTAAGAATTAAGCCCCAGCAAAACCCTGTTCAGTTCAGCTGAGAGATTCATTTAATGTCTTTGTACAAAATCGAAAAGATACAGATTTTGATACGTTTTTGGCACCTCAAAATTGTCAGATATGAGTTCTCTTTAAATCTGAGGCTCTGAACCCCAGCACCAGTTCATTCCGGGCGACGGGGCTGGATATTCAGAGATAAGGCAAATAACTCTAATTGTAGTTGTAGTAGTTCCAAATTTTCAAATGATGTAACATTCACTAAATTCTAACTTGACCTTGAATTTTGAATTCTATGCATTTTTTTGAAGATTTCAGAAAAACTTGATAATAACTACAAGATCGTTGGCAGATTTTAATTTTTACAATTATATAAACATATCTAGTTGTATTTAAACTGTAGGAAGGAAGAAAATGTGAACAGATGGACAGACATCCACATAAAAGTATTAAGTTACTTACCTCTCTTTGATCAAAAAACTTATCTTTATCTCTAGTTCGTCTACGTTTATCATGAATATGTTGAAATGTTTTATTACCAGTAGTAATTCCTTCAGGTCGATAAATCTACAAATTGATAGAAAAATACATTCAACCATGAACTTTAATTTCTGGTTGAAAGAGGCATGATATGATAAATAAATTAGTTTAAATTAGCAACATATTAATATAACACTAGCTACATGCCATTGTTTTGATATTATAGTTCTCATATTGGGGACTTTTTATTAGAGTTAAACATTGAAAATGGTAAAGCATAACATTTTTTTTTAGCATAAATGGAAAAAAAAACCAACACAAACATCAATAAAGATGATCAATAAAGATAGAAACATAACAACTTTATGTATCAGATTATAAGTGAGAAGTGTTCTACTTACCTTTATACCCTGTTTTTTCATTCTAACATAAAATTCATCATCTTCTAAACCCCAGCCCCAATATTTATTAGATAAACCATTCAACTAGGAATATAACAAGCAATTAAAACCATTTCAATTTCAACTGTTGCCATATAATTTTATTAATATTTTTCTGTATTTTTTTCTCCAGAATTCCCCAGGCTAAAGTATATTGGATTCAAGATGATTTTAAAAAGATTAAAGCTGCCATGTTATTTAAATGGGTGAAAGCTTAATAGCCTTTGAGCAACCACTCATTTGTTTTGGTACCTGTAATGTTTCGTGTCTTTCAAACTGTGAAATTATCATTAAAATAATCAACACTATTTACCTTTTCAAAATTTTCTCCGGTAATTAACAAAATTCCACCTACAAATTTTTCATAATGATATAAAGGATGTAGATTTGGAGCAGCTATGTGGAATACACCATTTTGAGGATATTTGTAATTTAAAGCTGGATTCAGTGGTAATAAGTCAACATCATGCATAGCAATATAATCACATTCCTGTTTACTTTCTAAAAAACCAATATTTATCAAGGATGCTCTGTTAAATCTGAAACACATCACCAAATCAATTTTCACATGAACATAAGAGATAAAATTGTCTCAACAATAGCTTTAACAAGAAATAATAACTAGAGCTAAATTTCTCCATAACACTTTAAAATGGTAAAATGACATTATCATTACATGCTTGTCAGAATGTTATATGAATACTTGAGACTTTGCCACATGGTATCTATTAAGCTTACTATTCTTAAATTCCAGAACCAAAGACAATTTTGTGATTCTAACGAGATCCTGATCACAGAAATGGAGCTGTCACAAACATTAAAGATGGGTTCCTCATTTTTTTAGTGTCAAATAAAGCAAAATATTTGATAAATTGGTGATTCTAAAGAATTATCATGTATTCTTAAACATATGATGATGTTCTTATTGCAAATAATTATGAGTTTTGAGAAATTATAAATGTCTATGTATGTACAGTCTGGATGAAAAAAAGACTTTTTGACCTTTCTTGATCGGTCACTCATTGGAATTCTGATGGTAATTCTCTTCTAAGTTAGCTAATTATAAATTAATCATGGATATGTGACACAAACTGGCATTTTTTCAAGTCATTAGAACCCCTCTATTTCCTATTCATATTAGTATTAACATTTTCATTTTCATAAATGAAAATAAGGGAAACCATCTTGAAGCCATCAAAGTTATTGTATATCAAAATTCCAATATATAAAAGTAACATTAACTTGAATAATTGATCTAGGAATAAAATAAACCCTTACCTATATGTATCAATTTGATTTATAACAAATATTCTATGGGGAACATTTTGATTTCTTAAAAATGTACTCATATGAGGAACAAAAACCATCAGTTCTTCAAATCTATCACGAAATGGTATAATAACTGCTAACTTATGTCCATCAGATTGTGGTATTGGATCTCCATTAACATGGAATTCTTCCAAATCATTAATTTGCTCATCTTCATTTTGACTATGATTTATACCTCTGTTATCGTTTATAGGATATATGGCCACAAGTAAAAATCCTATCACAGATATTATCAAAACAAACAATAGGAATAAATGGAATCTCTTGAAAACGCCATTGATAATTCTGGCCATACATGAAAAAAATACCAGTACAGTTTTATAACAACACTCAACGCTCAACACATCTAAATCAGCTTCATGAATAGTAGATATTTTCAATTTTAGTTCATTTCATGCTGATGATTTTCAATATTCACTGAAAAATCAATAATCATATATATTATATAAATTTCATGTCATTAATATGAAAAGTTTATTAAAATATTCTTACAGATGACATTACACATTTTTTAGAATAAAATTCAAAGCAAATCAATAGATTATTTGTGTTTAATGTACTGGTATTTAAATGCGGGCACACACTTACAGATTTTTGGACACCAGTAGCGACAGCGCTACGAAAAAAAACAGTAGTGATCGAGAGATATCTGCCATTTTCAATCAAATGGCATATTGTTTACAGTGCCACCCCAGTCGCGATATAAAATGTGTAAGTTTGCAGGGACTGCATATCCTGACCTGAGTTTGTCAGTCCAACATTTCAACAAATGTATAACTTGATTTAGACCTTTGAAACAGTAAATTTTGTAACGTTTTAGATAATTATGGAATAAAATGTACCTTACAATAACTTGACATTAACATTATGAAATTATAAAATTTGTATGACAATAAGTCTTATATAGGATGGCGACTATCTTCTAAATACCTCCACGCTATAATATTTTACCTTACATAATAACAAGTAATGGCTTATTCTGTCGAAAATAAGGATGATTGTATGGAGCGGACCTCATAACATGTTTACAAGAAAATTGTCAGCTTTTTGAAAAAACCTCAAGGAAGAAGTAGTTTTCAATGCAACCAAATTGGTTGCGCTCTGACTCCCTGTCGACGGCATTGAGAGAAAGGATGTTTCAGTCTAACCTAAACACTGACAAGGATGTACATTATATGTATGTATGTACATAAAAAAATATAGATTAAGATAAAAAGTCAAAATCTATGTTTTGATTTCACTTTTAATTCCTTTCAAATTTTTGCATTTACAATGCTTCTTCAGTCCTTAAAATACAGAAATAGTGAAATACTACAGAATCATAAAAAGGGCACCTCATTCCTCAACCATCAGGTTTCGGTCTATTTACCCTTCCAATACCAGTATTATTCATTACTTTTGTCAATGAAAGCTATAGCAATTGGTAGATGAGAATAGATCTATCATTCTTAATATTTTCATTGAATGGATTGGGGAGTGATCAATTTATCGTAGTCTTTCGTTTACCTTTTACAAACAGAAAATGAAAACTGTTTTAATAACGTAGTTGTCTCCCCTAGAGAAAACTGCCCTGTTTTATTGAAAAGATTTTACACCTTGTTATTAAGAAGTAGTCCAAAACGTCTTACTCAGTTCTCATCTCACGGCATATCATAGACTTTTTGATAAAGCAGGGAACACAATATTGAAGATAGAAATGGGCCTAGAACTGATAGACCAGAGGGAGAAGGGGGGTATTGTCACCCGAGAGGGGGCAAAATCTGAGATAACTTTTCTAGAGGATTTTTTCTCAGGAATCCGAATCTGGACGTGTTTACTGACGTACTGACGTGTGACGGAGACCTTACTCAATCTGGGAGGTAAAGTGCCGGGTCAGGGGGCGTTTTTGAGTTATTCAAGGTCAAAGGTCACAAAAGCTCAAATAACGCAAAAAACGTTAAAAATTGAGAATTTAACTACAAAATGTGTACAATTTAATTGATATCATCTAGAAATTGGCGAAAGCCCATTAGTGTGAATTGGCACTATCTATAAGTCCCAATTCTTTGAGGTAATCCAGGTCAAAATAGGTCATGACATTGTGAAGATGAAGTTGTAGTTTGTAATAGCTTGACATTGTGAAGATGTAGTTTGTAATAGCTTGACATTGTGAAGATGTAGTTTGTAATAGCTTGACATTGTGATATTGTGTATATTGTGAAATACAAGGCAACTCTCGGTGGTTTAAACTAACATCATTGGCATGATTTATTAGTCTACCTCTCGAATATTTTGAAATTCTACAAATTTGTATGAAATGTGAATCCAAATTTTACTTCATTAAAGGGACAGATGCGCCTTCAATTCCATGTGTGTCCAGAATTATGTGCGTTTGAATGCCAAAATGATGACTCGTCATTTTAAGATTATACTCTGTGATATATAGAAAAGACATATAAAGATAAAGTGAGTAAGTAAAACTCCTAGTTTGAGGTATTTTTAAATAAATATGAAATTTTCGTACATTTCTAGTACTTCTGAAGACTATTTACATATTTTAAAATCTAAAATCAACCCTTTAAAATGGCACATCTG